CAGCTAATATAGATCCACCTCAAACGTACAAGTGTTTATCGTATGGACTACGTATAGATTTAAAATATCGGCACGGATTTCATGAGCGCCGAATATTAAGCTATGCAAACTTTCGACTTTAAATGAGCATAAGGAAAGGCCTAAAACGTGGAGAAAAGAGAATAATTATACACTTCAATGCGTTTTATCCCAATATCTTCCCTCGCATATACCAGAAACTGCATGGACGGTTTTGTCATAAACACTCAAAAAATAATTAAGATTGTTATCCATTCGATAAGATTTTTATGTCAGGCTCTAAAACTGAAAATTTTCCGTATTTACATGTATATCAAATTTTTTAAAGTAAGTCATACTTATGGGATTGCTACCTCCTAGTGACAGATTTTCAATCCCACTTAAGGGACTCCGACCCTCAGCCAGGACGGACAACTCTTTAATTTATAATTTAATTCAAAAAGTCTTTAAATGAAGCTTGAAAATTAAATCTTTTCATGCAACAATTTTCATTACATGCCTCTCAATGTTCTTCAAGGTTCTTTGCAAAGACCCATAAATCACTTCTAATTTCATATCATGTTAATAAACACTGGTATCTAAAAATGCTTTTATGAGATAAAAATTTCTACTTTTAATTAGACCTTTCTGAGAAGTTCAAAGAACCTTGAAGCACATTGAGAGGCATATAATGAAAATTGTTGCATGAAAAGATTTAATTTTCAAGCTTCTTTAAAAAACTTTTTGAATTAAATTATAAATTAAAGAGTTGTCCCTCCTGGCTAAGGGTCGGAGTTCCTTACAACGTTTTCTAAGCGTTCAAGTTATGTTTATTCACGGTAGAATTGTCATAAATATAATATTATTCCTAAAGATGAATAAAATTTACAAAAAAAAAATTGTTCCAAAAAATCTTTTGAGCGAAAAACGATAAAACCACGTGTTTTATTTATTTTCTTTTGGGTATAAATGCTGTTATCTGATTGGTCAGAAAGACTTGCAACTTGTTTATTCTTTGTATTTATAAATAGCATCCACGGTTATCGCTCTTGACTTCCTTATTTGGAAATCGTCCAGACATTTTAAAACAGTTTATATAAGCAACATTAGTCAACCAATCACACCTGCCTTGGTCCCTATGCATTGCTTTTGTGCATCCAGCCTCAACCCTTTGCATGAGAAGATAAAGAGCTTTGAATTTGCTCTTTTGTGATACTTAAAAGCTGTTTAATAAGAAATACATTGATTAAATAATCAACGGGCTCAGTGTGAAATACCGGTATATATGTATACTAAATTATACAGAAAGAAACGTAGAGAAGCTAACTTAACTTTTTTTACTTACAAGTTATGCACTTATGATATTCCTCACATTATTCAGATGTCTGCATCTCGTATCGCGCGAGTTTCTCCGACAGTATATCGATTTATAAAATGTAAGGAAAGAAGGAAGGGAAATCTAAATGTTTAACTTTAGTTTTAAGTTTAGGTTACATAATACAATATGATTGGACAAACATTTGTCACCGATTTTGCAAATGTTCAAGCAATTTAAACGAGGAGGAGTAAATTATTTACTATTATTTTGCATATGTAGACGAGATTGATTGAATTAGTATACACAGAAAAGACACTAACAGCATTCCATAATAAAACATCTATAAGCTATTTATAGATTTATGGAATGTTTATGAAAACAATCTATTTATATTTCCAAACACCAAAAGACTGTTTCAAAAACTAAGTTTGTGAAATGAGAAAAAATAATAAGTTACAAGGATTTCATATTGAAAAAAAAATCATAATTTATCTTAATATTATGTAGCTTATTTTACAAGTAATACTATTTAAAAGCAAAATACATGCATCAGGTTCCTGCTAAATTCATGCATGGAATTTCATACTGCGTCTGTAAATTGCAGTCACTATTTATAGATGGTGTTATTGCCTATTGTGTTAGCATGCAGACTTGAATGCAACAGTATTCTTCATCAAAATTGTTCTTTGAGAAGTAAAAAAATCATTGTAAACTCGAAATATATACATGTATATGTATTGTATATTCTTACAGGAAATAGGTTAAATTGTGCTTAACTGACTGATTTTGTGCTATGTTTTGTTGTTATCTTAATCACAAAACACAGTAAAACTCAAATGAATGCCAAAACTTGTAAGCTGTGAAATTTTGCTACATTTTTAAATAAAAAACAATAATAATTCAAGTAGTTACTGATACAGAGATAAATGTTGGGTATTCAGTGAAAATGGGACAAAATCAACACACTCACTTTGCATAGATTAAAATGCGTTAAAGTTCTTAAGGACAAAATCAACTCACTTTGAAAATATATTTTTTTTTTTAATTTTGATTTAAATGAACGGTGTTGCTATGTTAACTTAAAACAGAAATTTCTTTAGAAATCTCGGTAAAAGCTACTCCTCCAACAGTTTAGTCTAATTGCAATCTTTTCAAGAAAAGAGACTAAATCAAAGATCATTGTTCTTTCTGTTTCTGTTGCAAAATTTTAAGTCCAACTGCTGCTTTTGTTTACAATACAATCTAAATACAAACCAGTAGAGTAACAGTCTCAATTAAGGCTTCTGGTTTTTTATTTCCACTGCAATCAAGATATTGTTTATTTTAATGAATTCCAACAAATAATTAAATTCAGAACTTTTTGACCACATAAACTGATTTTTTATGGGTACTGATAGTGTTGCGTTATTAACAGGCTTATTTTGGTATTCTTATGAAGAATTCATTCTCAAGCTTTTACATGAAAAGGAGAAAACTTGTTGTGTCCCTTAACAATTGCAATTTCCATTTATAAGTAGAGTATACATTGTATACCGGTATATTCCAGTGAACATGAAATAAAAGATAGTAGAGTCTGACACACCAGTTTCATATTTGAATATTATACTAGAAAAAGATGTAAATTAAAGGTAACCTAACAAAAGCTATATAATAAACTTAATGACTTTTCAATCTGATTAAAATCAGTTCTTTTGATCCGCTCACATAGATAGCTACACAATGTATAGCGATCTATGTGAGCGGATCAAAGAATATGATTTTAATCAGATTGATGCTTTTCTATCGTGAACACCCCCTTAATTATGTAGCAATAAATTCTTATCAACTGTATATTGGGTTTATGTCCCTCATTTGATTCGATACGCAAGAACATGATCTATGAAAATTTTCTAAAACTAGGCAAGCTTGGGTGGGGGGGGGGGGGGGGGCACTTTTTTTCCCAATATTACTTTTACTATTTGAAATGTTCATTGAAAGGCCGGTTTTTCCCCCCCCCCCTCCTTTTTTTTTACTACAGGAAATTGATATAAGAGAAATGTAGTGTTGCTTACAATAAAATTGTTAATAAAAGAACTTGGTATTGAAAAAAGATGGTTCCTCCCCCCCCCCCCCCCAAGAAATAGGATTTTGGAGTTTGGGCAACTTTTTCTTTTGCTTGTCAACTTTTTCAAGTAAGCCCCCCCCCCCCCCCCACTTTCAAAAACGATGCTACGTGGCTGATGTGTGTAATGATGACAGTCATCATTACACACATGGTCTATATACAAGGACCTTGTCAGCAAGTACAATCTCTCATTCAGTCCAATGGATGGAAAATCAAGTAAATACGATTCATGGATCACTTCCCTGTTAGCAATGTTAAGTAACTCAGCAAAAGACATGCAAGATAAATACTGACATTTTTATACAAATAAATAAATTCATAAAGATACATGTACATCCAAATTAATAAAATAAAACATTTAAAAAAAATTGTATATATTATATCACTGTAATTTGACTTGCATTATTAAAATTATATTCTTTCTCATTTCAATTTTTGATTTTCCTTTATAAACATTTCCGACAATTTCGTCAGTATGTCAGAGAATAGAGTACCTTGGTTTAGAGTTTCTATGCTTAACTCGTTTTTGTTGTCCCAAAACTCCGCTGAGAGAATCAACTCTTTACAAACCTGTAAATCATGTTCATTTCCTTCGTTATTAATTACCAACGTTTTCGTGCGATATCTACAAGGAATCATCTCAATCGCCAAATCTACAAAGTCTGACACATTATCATGATTAGCTGAACTTTGATGAAATAGCACAATAATACAGGAAGAGTCCAACAGTACTTTCTTTAAGTAAGTCATTTCCTTACGAAATGGAGGACAGTCGTCATTATTTACAGCTACATTTAACTTAACAAATGACATCAGAGTGGACGTGATCAAATTTTTCTGCTTACAAGCACTGCCCTCGTCACAGCTGTGAAGAACGAGCACATCAAATGAATTTGAATCGTCCTCCGGACCGCTTGAGGACCGATTAGGAAATATTGTCTGATATGCATTCAGAAGCCTAATTTTTGCCATTTCAAAATTTTGTTTTGCCAATGAATCGTTTGCCCCTTTAATATATGTATCCACATAAAATGATTTTTCAAAAGCATCTGTTTCATTAGTACATTGCAGTAACGATAAAGTGCAAATAGCGTTTTCGAAGTCACGTGTATCTATATAATTTTGTATCAGTTTTTTCACGGTTGTATTATCATAAGATTCTGTTTCAATCAGCCTTCTGTAGAATCCAATGGATTCTTCATAAAATTTAAGAAGTTCGTGTAATTTTGCTAGTTCTTTAAGAGTTTTTGGAGATTCATCTCCTTTCAGCAACAAACTTTTCAATGTTGGGAAGCAATGGTTTGAGTCTTTTAAATCTGGTATAGCTCCAATTATGCCTGATATCATTGTGACTGCATTCCACATGCTCTTTTCTGCATCATATTGAAGTTCTTCCTTTTTTGCTTGGTCATTTTCTTTAGATTTCAATTTTAACTTGCAAATACCTTGCTGCTCAAAAGCATTTATAAGAGTCATTTTGTATTCAGATGGTTTTCCGCAATTTCTAGATGTAATAAAAGAAAAACAGTCCAGTGCATCTTTGGTCCTGTCCAACATGCGATATATTAGTCCTAATTCATAGCGAGCAACGTTAAAATCTCTATCCATTTCCAGAGCTTTTTCGAGATGTGATACAGCTTCTATTAATAATGGATTATCGGGAGAATGGCAAACAGACATCGGCGATTTTCTCATTGCATTAAAAGCCCGAGTTGTATGTACAGGATCTGATTGGGATCGAAAAAATGGTGTATTGGAACTTTGCTGAAATCTTGGAGCATACCCTCTAGCTCCATTTCTTGCAGATCTCCTAGTCCCTGCTGATCTTCTAACAAATGGTCTGGATCTCTGAGAATTGTGATCCTCTTTCAAGTACACTGAGCTTTGCTCGACTTTTGACATGCATGCATATCTAGGATTATACCCTCTAGCCCCATTTCTTGCAGATCTTCTTGTCCTTGATGATCTTCTAACAAATGGTCTGGCTCTCTGGTATCTCTGGGTATTGGGATCCTCTCTCAAGTACATTGAGCTTTGCTCGACTTTTGGATGACTTAAAGATATTGAAGAGAATTGACTGGCCATGCTAGAAATACCACTGTCATATTGTTCTTGCTTTGAATCGTGTTGACTTTGCCCTATTGCTTGAAATTGATGGCCTTTTGGCAAGGAGAGCGGGGTAACCCTACTAGACCAAATACCGCTTTCATATTGTTCTTGCATCGAATTTTGTCCTTCTGTTTGATGAATCATTAACAATGACAGCGGGGTAACCCTACTAGACCAATTACCACTGTCATATTGTTCTCTTTCCAAAATGTGTTGCCTCTCTTCAGCAGAGAAGGAATGAATCAAATTTCTTCTGCATGTTGGCTTTGGTGTGTCTTTTTCAACTATCTTTTTTAATGTTATTGCTAAATGATGTCTTGAGAAAGGCATATCCTGTATTTGGTTTGCCTTCTCTAACATCTCTCTTGATTTTTCCAGATCCCACCAATATCTTAGTTGTTGTCCGTACGACTGAAGAATAAAATAGTTATTGGGACATAAATTTAATGCTTCCTCAAAACACAACTTCTGGTTAATTTTCGTTGTTTTTGTTTCGTCGATGTTGACTATATTAAATAAGTTTTCATTTTTTGTTAAGATAGTGCCTAGCCGACACCATGCTTTTCCCATTATTTGGCGGTATTCAGGTAAAATGTCTGTCTCTGTATACTTTACAATCCCATACAAAATACTAGACGCTTCCTTTCTTTTCTTCTCAGGGTTAAATTTTTCCGGATCTGTCATCTGAAACATATGAGACTGCCTTTGTAAAGTTAAAGCAAGTCCAAATTCCCAGAGAATATTTCTCTCTGGTTTCAATTCATCTATTGCTTTACGGAATAATTGGACAGCTTGTTCGTGATGTCGAGGACCAAATCGTGAGTAAAAGTATGCGATCTCTGCAACTGCCCGAGTTTGGGTTTCTTTATGGTTTAAATGTGTATCAACGTTTTCCGATAATTTACGGGACTGGAAAAACTCGCTAACTTCATAGTGAAATAAAATTTCATTACACAAAGTAATTAGACTACCGCTTTTTTTGACTACTTGTGCTTTTTTCAGTGCTTCAAAGGCTTTATCTCTTTCACCTAACCTCCAGTGGAGATAAGATATCAGATTAAGTGCTCTGACATTTTCTTCTTTAAGATCAAATCCCGCATCCATGTCTTTCTGTAAAAGATGCAGCTTTTTCTTTGTCCTCTCATTGCTTTCGATTATGTCATCCAATACAAAAGATGACCACTTCCTTATCTCATCGATTTTCCTCTCTTCAGCTTCATCGTCCATTGTTGTAGCTTATGGTTTTCTGTTGGCAGAGAGATATAATCATTAATAAGCTTAAACATTATGTATTCAATTCAGTTGAGATCTAATTTATAATCATCAAGATACGGTACTTGCTTTAGCTAGAATGTAACAGGTGGAGATGTTTATAGCCCTCCACCGATAAGTGCTGACGTCCCAACTTGAAACGTCAAATCTAAATGTTGTTAAAATAAACATCACAGCAGTATCATTTGAATTTACCATCTGCACTTTACATCTAAGTAAGTCATAACTGAGTTTGTGTTTAACATGCTATTATTTTTTGTACATGCCTTGTTGCCTATTAATGCCAAAATCAACATCTAATGGGTGAGGATCTACACTAACCTGAGTGTATAAATTTGTCGAATGTTTGTGACTTTTTGGTCCAGTGTAATTTATTTTTCATGCGCAGATCTAGGGAATTGAAAGTTATATGTATATACCTACCCAATTAAAAGTTTCCTTGGACCCTCCCCCCCCCCCCACCTTTAGAAAAAACTAAGTCAACGACTAAATATACACCCCCGCCCCCTAGGTTTTCAATGTTTGGGGAAGATGTTTTTTTTCTTGTCAAGAAATTTTTGAGGTTGGATTCTTTTTTAACTAATAATGTATGAAGGGTTATTTTCACCCCGTGTTATTTTCGCCCTTGCACGTGCACACTTGCAAACAATTTTGCCCCTTTCAAAATTCGCCCGGTTATAGTTTGTTTCAGAAAATAAACCGTATATCCTTTGAATTCGCCCCATTTTGAATCCGCCCTAATGAAGCTTGGGCGAAAGGGACGAAAATAGAACTTAGAATACTTGTCGGATAAAAACATTTATTTATTTTTTATTTTATTATTTTTTTTTTTTTTTGCACAAAATGACCAATGACAGGCTGGGTATATTAACGAGTTCCATTCTCACTGAAAAAGCAGCTATCTGAGTTGTCAAAAAGTACATAATTTAATTTTTTGTGGGGAATATACAGGTAGTTGTGCTAATAAGTGTTGAAAGTTGTTTGTTTTTGTCCCCCGCTTTCGCGAAAGCGAGGGGACATTAAATCTTATTTTTGTACATGCCTTGTCCGTCAGTCTGTCATTAATGCCACAAAAACTTTAACCTTGCCCATAACTTTTGATTTAGTGGAGCTATGACTTTCATAATTCACATGTGTATTCCTTGTGACAAGACCTTTCTTTGGGTACCACCAAATTTGACCTTTTGACCTTGACCTTGGAGTTTGACATACTTTTACACAAAAATTCCAAACTTTTACTTTGGCCATAACTTTTGAATAGTAGGTACTAGGACTTTCATATCTCATATATTCATTGTTCGTGGCAAGACCTTTCATTGGATAACAACAACCTTGACCTTTTGACCTTGACCTTGGAGATTTACGTACTTATGAAAAAACTTTAACCTTGACCATAACTTTTGAACGGTGAGAACTAAGGCTTTCACACTTCACATATGTAATCCTTGTGAGAGGACCTTTTTTTTGGATACCAACAACTTTTACCCTTTGACCTTGACCTTGGAGTTTTAACTACTTTTTAAAAACTTTGACCTTGGTCACAACTTTAAAACAGTGGATACTAGGACTTTTATATTTAACATATGTATTCCTTGTGGTAAGACATTTCATTGGATACCAACAACCTTGACCTTTTGACCTTGACCTTGGAGATTTACTTTTTTAACTTTGACCATAACTTTTGAACGGTGAGGACTAAGGCTTTGTACTTCACATATGTAATCCTTGTGAAAAGACCTTTCATTGAATACCAACAACTTTTACCCTTTGACCTTGACCTTGGACTACTTTTTAAAAACTTTAACCTTGGTCACAACTTTTAAACCGTGGATACTAGGACTTTTATAATTCACATGTATTTCTTGTGGTAAGACATTTCATTGGATACCAACAACCTTGACCTTTTGACCTTGACCTTGGAGATTTACGTACTTATGAAAAAATTTTAACCTTGACCATAACTTTTGAACGGTGAGGGCTAGGGCTTTCGTACTTCACATATGTAATTATTTTGAGAAGACCTTTGATTGGATACCAACACTTTTACCCTTTGACTTTTTTTTTTAACAACTTTTTTAAAAAACTTTTTTTGGTCACAAGTTTTGAATGACCATATTTCACATATGTATTCTTTGTGGCAAGTCCTTTCATTGGATATCAACAACTTTGACCTTTTGACCTTGACCTTAAAGATTTACGTACTTATGAAAAAACTTTAATCTTGACCATAACTTTTGAACAGTAAGGGCTAGGGCTTTCATACTTCTCATATGTTATTCTTGTGAGAAAACCTTTCATTAGCTATCAACAACTTTGACCCTTTGATTAGGGTTTTCATCCTTCAAAAAAAGTCAACTTCAGTGTTACTTTCTAAATAAAAGACATATGATAGGATGTTCATTTTACACACAGTATGTCATAAAAAATAACATCTCACCACAAAGACACCGAAAGCGGGGGACCACAATTCTTTGAATTTGCTTGTTGATATTATTACTGTTGGTAAAATTTTGCGATTTCAAATTTTCTTAAAGTTCTTTGGTGTGCTAGCTATCCGCATCTGATTTATACTACATCTCTCGAATATACCGTTGTACAGTATTTCTGAAGTTTCTCCTTCACAGCTGTGAATATCAAATGAGGACAGAAAAAAGAGTTTTTTAAAACATTTGCTGAAACCATCTATGTATCTTTGTTTGGATATTATGGAGTAGATATGGTAATTCAAATCCATATTCCTTGTAAGGAGAAACCTTTCACGACAGCTCAGTCGGTAGAACAATAGCTCCATGATAGGCAGTACATGAGTTCGAATCTCGGCTGCGACTGACCTACGTTGATAAAAAAAAAAATGGGTAGATTATACAGGTATTCCTACGCCATGTGCTTGGCACTTGAAGTCAAAATTGCAGGTCCTTCGGGTAAGACCTTAAACACCGAGGCCCCGTGTCACGGCAGGCGTTGGTACGATAAAGATCCCTCATTGCTCAATGGCCCAGAGTGCCGAGTAAATGTCAAAATTTGAAGGCCTTTACCAGTATATGGTGGCGTCTCTCGAATGAATAAAAAATTCTCGAATGGGACGTAAAACAACACACAATCAATCATTGTTAATAATATCAAAGAATTTAAAACTGACAATTGTTTTGGAAAAAATCCCTCCTTTGAAAAGGGATCGGAAATATGGGTTTAAGTGGATTACTACCTAACTCAGATCATTGTTAATGTTGCAATGCATTCTTACCAAAAAAAAAAAAAAAAGAAGGAAGAAAGAATGAAAACAAAACAACAAAAAAACCAGTAGTCTCTGTCGAGACTGAAGCTCTAATGGTTTTTACTTAAAGAAAAGGAAGAGAAAAGTAGCAGTTGGGAATTGAAACTTTACAACAGCAATAAATAGAGTAATGATCCTTGATTAAGTCTCTTTTCATGTTCTTAGTGTATTCTGCTTGCATTTATATTATAATCAGACTAAAACTGTATTTGGGGTAGCATTTTGATAGTAATTTACAGAAATTTCTATCTTTAGTAACCATGGCAACAATGTTCATCGAAACAAAGAATGATAAATAGAATTGTTTATCTTAGTTTAGTCTACTTCTGTGCAAAATTATATTGAAATCAAAACAAAACTGTAGGAGGAGTAGTATTATCAAAGTGTTTCACAGAAAGTTCTATGTTTAGTTACCATGGCAATATCGTTCATAAAAATCGAAAACCGATACACCGAATTGTGTATATTAGTGTACAGTGTACTGTGTAGTCTACTTTAGTTATATTGAAATCAGACCAAAACTGTAGGAGGAGAAGCATTTTGAAACAATTTCACAGAAATTTCTATTTTTAGTAACAACGGTAACACCGTTCATCGAAATCAAAAACCGATATACAGAAAATATGTATCTCAGTGTAGTCTACTTGTGTGCCAAGTTACATTGAAATCAAACCAAAACTGTAGGTGGAGTAGCATTTTGAAACAATTTCACAGAAATTTCTAATTTTAGTAACAACGGCAACATCGTTCATCGAAATCAAAAACCGATATTATACACTTATCCACTGGTTGTGAGTGGAATAGCTCTTTTATCAAACCCGCGACAGGGAACTATTCCCCTAGGGCTTGCCCGAGGGGAATAGTCCCTGTCAAGGGCACTGGTTGTGAGTGGGATAGCTCTTTTATCAAACCCGCGACTGGAAACTATTCCCCGAGGGCTTGCCCGAGGGGAATAGTCCCAGTCAAGGGTTTGATAAAAAGAGCTATTCCACGCACAACCAGTGGATAACTGTTTTATTATACCGATGTATAATATAATTTTTGATGTTTGAATTTTTTGGAGTAAGATAATACTGAAAGAATCTGAAATCCTGATGACGGCACAACAATACTGAAGTCGTTATGACATCAACAGTCAATAGATTTACCGCTGGAAATCAAAATTTGAGGCAAAAATTGCATGAAAATTTTCCCAGTGTGGATAGTATACACTTATCCACTGGGTGTGAGTGGGATAGCTCTTTTATCAAACCCGCGACAGAGAACTGTTCCCCGAGGGCTTGCCCGAGAGGAATAGTTTCTGTCACTATCCCAACACCCAGTGGATAAGCGTTTTATTATACTGATGTATAATATAATTTCTGAGGTTTGAATTTTTTAAGAGTAAGATAATACTGCAAGAATAATCTGAAAACCTGATGACGTCACAATGCTACTGAAGTCATTATGACATCATCAGTTGATAGATTTATTACTGGAAATCAAAATTGGAGGGAAAAATTGCATGAAAATTTTCCGAGGGTGGATAGCAAAAACTATACCCCGGGGTATAGTTTTGCTATGCGTGAACTATAAAAGATAGCTATTTTACCTTCTGAACTTTATATAGGAAACATTTTAACAGAAGTATAATAACAAAAACTATACACCGGGGTATAGCTTTGCTATGCGTGAACTATAAAAGATAGTTATTTTACCTTCTTAACTTTATAAAGGAAACATTTTAACTGAAGTATAATAAACAGAATTATGTATCTTAATTAGTGTAGTCTACTTGTGTGCCAAGTTATATTGAAATCAGACCAAACCTGTAGGAGGAGTAGCATTTTGAAAAAAATGTTTACAGGCAGCTACGGACAGCTAGACGGACGGACGCCAGACGTATTGCTATCGCATAAGCTCTTCTGGTCTCTGACCAGTAGAGCTACAAACATGAAACAACCCAATAAGCAAATGAAAAACTATAGATTTTTATTGAGCCTAATCAAATTGTGCTACCCCTTCTTATTCCGAGACATTTTAAAATCTCGCATGTTAACGATCCAGTGAAGTATAATTTTTACTTGCTGCATGCAGTCAGTTTTTGTTATATCTATGGAAACTTTTTCCGTTGCTTAATATTATTATTTTTGTACAGATATGGATTTTTTTTTCTTCAGGGATAAAGTAAATGTATAATAGATCACATATAATCTTGGGGCACTTGTCATTTCATCCACTCATAATTATTATCATTTTACTAACAGGGTGTCAGATTACTTGATAGGGCTTGTTAAAATTTTGTGTGCTTGCTATCATTTTACTTATCGATTGGATGTTTGATATCGATGGAATCAATAATACTTTGCATTTGAAACACAGATCCTCGCAATACCACTAACAATACTAACAATACTAACAATACTGACCAATCGTTTTGAATGATGCAGTAAACAACAATTATACATGTGGACGGACATTTTTAGCGAGTTTATGGAGACAATAAAAAAATCAGTTGCAAAGGCAAAACTTTTTTTTAAGTTTTGTTAAATAAAAAGAATACACTGAAGGGGTGGCCAGGTGAAACCACTTGTGCCAGGCCACCATCAACCATCAGAAAATTCCTTGACAAGCTTAAAAGAAGAAAAAAAAGTTTCAGACGTTTTTTGTTGAGGGGGGAAGCTTTTATTGGTTATGTTTTCTCACAAATATCAGTAATCGAAAATATGGTAAACATTAAATCCTACGGAGAGGCGAGCGTCGCTCGCGAAGCTCACTGGTAGGATTTACGTCTGTTTACCATTTATTTTCTATTTACTGATAAAATTGCCGACTATATAACCCCCCCCCCCCCCTCCCCCAAGTTACATCTGAGAAAGTGAAATTACTCGTCTGTTGATAGATTTATTTCCTATCTTTTTTTCAATCTAAATTTTGCCTCCATATCTATGAAAAAACTTACTAATAGCCTCGGTTTTGTATGTCCATCAATGATAATTATGATTATTTTCGCAGAAAATCGACTTCCATACTACTTTCACTTTCAATAAACAAGGTATAAAAGAACCCGAGAGCTTCCGATATTCTGGAACAGACTAGCAAAGGGCGATAATTTTCATACAGGCTGGACAACAAAACGACACAATGAGCGACCTTACACTCTACTATTTTCCAGCATCGTATTATTCGCAAAGGGTAGGAAAGAAAGCTTCAAAAAGAAGCATATTTAACTTTATTTGTGTGTGATTTAATACTATGCGGCATGGTTTCATGTTGCGCAATATTTAGATAAGACATGTAACACTAACAGCTGATGTCAGATGAGTGATAAGACATGTAACACTAACAGCTGATGTCAGATGAGTGATGTACGAAATTGTAACAATACAAATGGAAAGAATACAGTTATATAGTAGAAATTAAAATTGTAGAATGGAAAATAAATTTTAAACAAATTTAAAAAATCGAATATTAACCTTTCGGCTTTGGCTATTGAAGATGGGGGACACCCTTTCTTTAAAATCAAAATTCAGGTAGGCTGCTGTGAAACAATATTCATTGTTTTGGAATGGGGTTGACCTGGTACTAAGGCACTGGTACTATTTGTAAGTGCAAATACAATTTCATGGATTTTTCTGTTGATGTTTTTTGAGGATAACTTAAATATACAGCAAGTTCCATGAACATTTGTAAAAAAAAAAAAAAAAATATTTGGGGTAAATTATGGGGTAAGAGGAATTAACCGACATAGGCGTCGGAACGGGGGGGGGGGGGGGGGGGCTTAGCCCCCACCACTTTTTTTTGCAAAGATATACATAATATATGCATTGAAAATTGGATTTTACCTTTTTTGTTGGTTTATCCCTCCCCTTTCAATTTGCTTCCGACGCCTATGCAGGACATTAGTATAAACATTGGTCCTCCGCAATCAGTGATGATTCTACAGTAATCAATTATATTTCTTGTACTTTAAAGGCTTTGTTGGCACTGTATGAAAAAGATGCCAAGTTTAAACACCAGGTGGTGTTTATACATGATGGAGACCAGATTACCCCAAGTTACATGAGAATGAACCCTGAGGGTAAAGTCCCTGTGTTAAAGGATGGGAAGAAAATCATTACAGAGTCAGATGTTGTGATTAAATATGTAGATGAAAATGTCCACACAGGTAAAGAGAGCACTTTTTATAAAGAACATTATTATTTAGAAAGTTAAATGG